GGTTAAAAACTAAGTGCTTGGCCCGGCGCAGTGGCTCACACCTGTAATCTCAGCACTTTGGGAGGCTGAGGCGGGTGGATCACCTGAGGTCAGGAGTTCGAGACCAGTCTGGCCAACATGGTGAAACCCTGTCTCTACTAACAAAAATTAGCCAGGCATAGTGCCAGGCACCTGTAATCCCAGCTACTGGGGAGGCTGAGGCAGGAGAATTGCTTGAACCCAGGAGGTGGAGATTGCAGTGAGCCAAGATTGCACCACTGCACTCCAGCCTGGGTGACAAGAGTGAGACTCCATCTCAAAATAAAAACGAAAACAGAAAACTAAGTGCAGCTTGCCAGTCACCTCTACCCGGCATGTATTGCACACGGGAGACTCAAATCAGCAACAGGCGGGAGGGCAGCATGGGACAGCCGTGCCAAGGAGAGGGTCTTTTGGCTGGTGTGCAAGTGACCATGCCAGCCACAGGCCTTTGGAATTGAGAAACACATTGTGAGAAATGTAACTTGCAAACCCAAGATCAAAGAATTTGCCTTATGAATCCTTTTGGATATAAAAATTGCTGCAGATTATTGTCAGAAACACTGACACGGGTAGTGTCATCACGCCTTTGCAGAGGCAGTGATGCTCGAGTGTTTTGATGTATTTTTCCTGAAATACCACTTCCTCTGAAGCCTTGGAACAGCGCGTTACACAGATCTCATCTGCCTGCTCCATCCACGCCAACTCCTTCCTTCCCGACTCATCCTTCCTGAGGCCCTGCAGCTCTGCACGCAGTGGAGACGGACTTCCATTTGTGTCAGGTGTAAACGCAAATCCCAGCATAACAATATGTCTTTGAAAGTTTCAAGCAAGGAACATGGATTGTGAAATGCGTGACTCCACCCTCGGCAAGTCTTCTCGTGGGGACAGTCTCTCAGAGGAGCCATGTGTGCAGTGGTCCTGGAGAGGTGCCCGCAGCTCCGCAGGGTGGGTTCTGTGCTTTTCCTAGGGAGAGCATCGCATTGCCCTGGGGGCTGCACTCACCCCGAACCATGCCCACCTCAGCAACGCCTCCACTGGCACTGCCAGCATGGGCAGGGGCTGGAAATGGGAGGAGCTGCCCCATCAGGCCACTGGGGACAGGGAGATCAGTTCTGGTCAGGGCTCCATCTCCTGCAGCCAAACGTCTAAGTCCCCAAATAGGCAACGTCTCTGCCCCAGGCCTGGCTCCCAGAGTCTGCCTGGTGACTGCTAGCCATGACAAAATAGAGTATTCCCTGGCATGAGCTCAGAGACCCACTGGCTGTGCTCCAGGCCTGGCTGGGTGACCTTGGGTGATTGCTGAGCCCTCTGGGCCTCGGCCAGGTGTCTCTCTGCTCCTCACGGTAACCACACGAGGTGACTGTCATTATTCTCACTCCCAGAGGAGGGCAGCATGCTGCGTTATCAGCCTTGTTCTGACCATGGTGTTCTGTAGGAGAGGCTCGTTCTGCCCCACAGCCTGGAGCGGGCTCAGAGCCCTTTCCTGACCCTGAGAATGTGGGGTTTATTCCCGACACAGCTGCTGTGGAGCCAGACAGGCCTGGCCTGGCCCTCGGAGGTCTTTTCCCTGTGTTTGCAGCTCTCCCGCCGTGACAGTGCTTGGTGCTGGCCCCGCTGTGTTTGTTTCTTGGCTTCCCTTGGGAGCACAGCCTGGATTCATCCCTGCAGGCGCCTCCCCAGGGATGCGGGGCCCCGAGGCTGCTGTAAGCAGGAGCTCCCCAGCCTGCCCTCACACCCCACCCAGCAGCCTGCAGGGTTCCAGCCTGCCTGGGAAGGCCCTGGTTCTCAGTCATGTTTGCCAAGTGATGTGGTGTAAATACTCCCACTGCTGCTGAGTTCAGGCTGCCAAGGTGAAGTCCTCCAGCTCACATAACTGCTGGAAACTTAACAGTTGGCTCCCATCAGCTGGCTCTAGCACAGCACCCGGCTCTGAGGAAATCCTGTGCCTCCTGCCAGTCCTTGTCGTTCCTGGCCTGTCCTGTGTGCTTTGACACAGGAGACTGCTCTCTCCACCAGGGAACGCTTTCCTTCACTCACCAGCAGCCTCCCTCCTGGCCACCCTTTCTGCATCCCCATGCTGGTCCCTCATCTCCCCAGCTCTTGGTGGTGTGGTGTGTCCATGTGCTCTCTTCCCCCCTCAGCAACCTCATGGGGCTCAGTGGTATACACTATCCTGCTCGTGTACACCATCCCGCCCATATACACCATCCCCCCGTGTACACCATCCCGCCCATGTACACCATCCCACCCGTGTACAGCATCCCACCCATGTACACCATGTCATCCGTGTACACCATCCCACCCGTGTACACCATCCCCCATGTACACCATCCCCCGTGTACACCATCCCACCCATGTACACCATCCCGCCCATGTACAGCATCCCGCCTGTGTACACCATCCCACCCGTGTACACCATGCCACCTGTGTACACCATCCCACCCGTGTACACCATCCCACCCGTGTACAGCATCCCACCCGTGTACACCATGTCATCCGTGTACACCATGTCATCCGTGTACACCATCCCCCGTGTACACCATCCCCCGTGTACACCATCCCCCGTGTACACCATCCCGCCCGTGTACACCATCCCACCCATATACACCATCCCACCCATATACACCATCCCGCCCATGTACAGCATCCCGCCTGTGTACACCATCCCACCCGTGTACACCATGCCACCCGTGTACACCATCCCGCCCGTGTACACCATCCCGCCCATGAACGCCATCCCCCGTGTACACCATCCCACCCATATACACCATCCCCCTGTGTACGCCATCCCGTCCAGGTACACCATCTTGCCTGTATACACCATCTCACCCATGCTCCTCAGAGCGCCAGGCCCACTAAGTAGCCACCTTAGTCATCACTTTCACTGGGCGCTTGACAGACATGTCAGTGGAAACCACCCCAAACTCAGCTTCTCGCTTCTCTCTGGAACTTCCCAGTTGATAGCAAATCCACCCTTCCAGCTGTTCAGGCTCCAAACATTGGAGCCACTTTTCATGGTTCTGTCTCTCCCCGCATGCAGCCACCAGCAAGTTCCGGTAACTCCACCTTCAGGAGAGGCCGAGTCCAGCCCTTACCAGCTGCCGGCTGCCGCCACTCAGGCCCCTGGCTGGATTATTCCAGCAGCCTCCTCGCGGGGTTCCGCCTTCCACCCTCATCACTGGGGCCTCCTCTTCATACATCAGCAGAAGGACTCCTTAAAAATACTCCACAGTGCTTCGTCTTTGTTTAAAACCCTTTGACACCTTTCCATAGAACCTAGTCAAATCCTCGCTGGGCCTGTAAAGATCCTTGTGGCCTGTCCCACCCCATCCCGCTGACCTCAGTTCCTGCATTCCTTCCCCTCCATGGCCTGCTCTAGCTGCCCGGAGCTGCTGGCTGTTTCTGGAGCACACAGAAGTGTACCTGGAATTCTCCCAGCATCCCACATGACTGGCTTCTTTCCCCTGGTCTGCTTAAATGCTGTCTGTTCTGACCTTCCCTGACCACCCGATTGAAAATGTCACCCTCCATCCTGGCACTGCCTGCCCATTGCTCTGGGAAGCCCCTTCCAAAGCACTCCAGAATCCAGGTGTTGCGGCTCTCCCACTGGACCGTGATCTCCACCTGAGCAGGCCTTAGGCGTCTGTTCACTGCTACATCCTGGCCTGTAACAGGACCTTAGCGAATGTGGAGGGAAGGAAGGGCTGTCCGCGTGTGTGTGCTGGCGAGGGGGGTTACATTTCAGCCGCCACGCTTGTGAGCTCACCTTCATCAGTAGGCAGTGTGATCATCCAGGCAGGAATGAGACAGTCACTCTGGCAAGGACAGGCTTCACAGAAGGGACTCGAGGTGGGGACTGAGGCATGGGTCTCAGAGGTCACCTGCAGAATTGGAATACCTGTCCCCACAGCTCACCCTGGCCAGGGTGTTGAAGGCTGCAGGTCATGATGTCTTGGTAGAGAAGGAGAAAAAGAGACCTGGGCTGTGTATTCTCTTTTTAAAAGATAGTAATCTTATGTTACATGGTTTCCCCCACCTCCTTCAACACACACACACACACACACACACACACACACACACACACACTCCTCTCGTGTTTGTTCAGTAAGGATGAATTGAGCAGGTTGGAGGTGGGAGGCCATGGGCTGGCCCCGGGGGGACCTGGTGCCCAGGCCTGCAGCTCCAGTGCTGTGCAGCCTCTGGTCTCATGAAGATGATCTTGGCCTGGCCTGTTAGCTGCCCCCACCAGGGGCTTGGCGGAAAGGGCAGGTGCTGAAAGCGTCTGCCGCGTGGAGGCAGGCAGGCTGCTCAGAGGACCGGCTTTCCTGCTGAGAGCGGAGGGCGGGCTGCTGTCTGGGATGAGCCCAGCAGTGGGGGAGAGTGTGAGGGAGATGAACGGTCTGCAGGGAGGAAGTCCAGGTGCTGTCCTGGAGCTGAGACAGGGCCCAGAGGCTTCTATGTGAGCAGGGCGGAGCCAGGACAGAGCCCTCCCCGGGCCTGGCGGGCAGGTGTCGGCGATACACAGAGCCTCCTGGTAGGCACGTAGGCCATTGGCTGCCAGCCCTGCCCTCTGCAGGCAGCACCTCTGGCTGGCGGCAGAGTTCATTCAGCCCCTGGGCACCTCCTCGGGTGGGTCTCTGGGCCAGATGGGGCCGCGCATTCCTGCTTTAGCTTAGGAAGTTGGTTTTAAAGACATTGATGCTTTCTCTTGACTGTAACGGTCATTTCTACTTTAATAGAAAATAAGACCCGTGAATTAGAATTTTTTTTCTGGTCAATTGCACCCCATTCAAACTTTTCCTTTTGACTTTCATTGTGGCAATTGGACATTCACGTAGTTCTCAGTTCAGACAAAGCGCATACTTTTTGGAGAATTTCTGTCTAACATGCTAGAGTGTTGATTCTGCTGGTGCCTGCTCTCAGCGTTAGTGATGCCAGGAGTAACTGTTTTTCTCCCTGCCTGGCTGTGGTGCCCCTAGTCCTTGAACGCGGCACTGAAGCACCTGTGTGAGATCCTCACGGATGATCCGGAGGGCGGGCCGGCTCGCATCCCCTTCGAGACGTTCTCCTACGTCTACCGCTACTTGGCCAAATTAGACTCCGACATCTCTCCCTCAGAGACGGAATCCTACCTTGCCTCTCTCAAGGAAAATATGTAAGTATGCACACGCTCTGGGATCCAGGTATGTTGGCCGTGGGGGAATTTCCTGTCTGACTTCTCCCATCGAGGGAAAAATTCAGTTTTCCCTTTGCTCTGACACCGCAACAATAATCAACACAGAGACAGCTCTGACCACATGTGTGGGGGTTTTTCCTCACCAAAAAGCAAGCAAGCCGTTCTGCAGCAGACACCAGCTGTGCGTTCTCATTCAGCTGTGACCCTGTCTACCTGGAGATAGTGTGAGATCCCACAGGATGAGGGCTCAGTCCCCAAGACTGCCCCCACCCTGCCCCATTACTGATGCCAGTTGCAAGCCCCAGGTTATTTTGGCTGTGCTTCTGATCAACTGGCTATAAAACGGGGTTCCCATGACCCTTCCTAGGGTCGATTAATTTGCTAGAATGGCTCACAGAACTCAGAGAAACACTTAGGTTTACTAATTTGTTACAAAGGATATTTTAAAGGTTACCAACAGTCAGAAGAAGACAGACATAGAGGGAGGGCTGGAAGGGTCTGGAGCTCAGGGGCTTCTGTCCCCGTGGACTTCACATACTTCCTCTCCCTGCATATGGATGAGCTGTTTTCACCTTCCTGTCAGCCTCCATGAGTTTAGCTACTGGGAAACTTTCTGAGCCCTGTCCTTTCAGGATTTTTTTCTGGAAGCTTCGTGATGTAGCCTTGACTGATTAAATCATTGGCCATTAGTGATCCCCTTAGCCCTCAGCCCCTCCCCCCCTCCCAGGCTGGCCTGGGCTGACAGTCCCACCCCTCTAATCCTGCCTCGGGCTCTCCAATGACCAGCCCCGTCCTGAAGCTGCCTGGTCGCCAGCCAGTCACGAGCATACAGAAGTAAGTCACTGGAGAATCCACAGATTTTAGGAGCTGGATGACAGGAGACAGCGCTGATGACCAAATATAGATTTCACAATATCATGCCCCTTGTTGCGGTAACTTTGTCCCAACAAATCTTGTGTTTGGCAGAAGATTCAGTCACACCTGATGGTACTCGGGGTGGGTGTACGTGGAACTGCGGATCAGAGGCCATCAGTGAAATCAAGCAGCACCTCAGAAGGGAGCCCAATCTCCCCTGTGGCTTCCACCCGTGTAGGTTGAGGCTTGGGTTTCTTTAGACTTTAGAGGGAGAGAATGTAACCTGTCATTAAGACCCATGTATCCCAAATCTAGCCTGATTCCCATGTACAGTATGTCAGGTGGTATTAAATTGTAGTATGTTAAAAAGTGAGACAGAGCTGGGTGTGGTGGCTCACGCCTGTAATCCCAGCACTTTGGGAGGCGGAGGCGGGTGGATCACAAGGTCAGGAGTTCAAGACCAACCTGACCAACATGGTGAAACCCCATCTCTATTAAAAACACAAAAATGAGCCTGGCCTGGTGGTGGGTGCCTGCAATCCCAGCTACTCAGGGGACTGAGGCAGGAGAATCGCTTGAGCCCTGGAGGTGGAGGTTGCAGTGAGCTGAGATCATGCCATTGCACTCCAGCCTGGGCAATAAGATCGAAACTCCATCTCAAAAAATAATAATAATTCATTTCTCTATAGTGAAACATACGCATTGATTTCTGCTGGTGGACAGCCTGGCAGTGAAGCCATGGACACAGGATCATTTGCAGAAACTTGAAGATGTCATTGACATCAGTCACACAATTCTTGCTCTGATGGACTTGCCATGTGACCCTGACACATTGCATGTGATATTGTATTTGCACCAGGCTGCGTGCGATGTAAGGCTGGTTCTGCTCTAAAGCATGACCTGGTGCTAACATTCGAATATATTGTCCAGTATTCTGATCACCTGTGACATTTTTAACAAGATTAATGAGTTCTCCCTTTAAAGATAAGATACAGAGTAAAAAGGAACAAAGCTCTTGGGTCCTGCAGAAGTTCTCACGTGTTCATTCCTTAAACCATCATTGGGTGCTGACTCTGCACCCTGCTCCACCTATGGGGAGGCAGAGAAAGCAGCTGGGGCCAGTGGGGTGTGCAGAGGCAGTGGGAACAGTACAGGGCGGGGTCCGGGATGCTGCACTGCTGCAGAGTAAGCCTGGTGAGCGGGAGGAAAGGGCCCAGGTCCTCCAGGCTCCAGCCCCAAAGGAGATGGTGCTCCTGAGGTCTTCCCAGTACTCCCTCTCGGGGCCACCACCCCTCCAAGTGCTGGTGAAGGTTTGTCCCTGAGCCCCACACCTCTCATCTTGAATCGCCCACAGTACAGTTTATTGAGCACCTGCTCTGTGCTGGGCACTGGTGCAGGTGCCCGGATGTAGTCAGTGAACAGGTCATATCTGTGAAGCAGACAGACACCAGACATGCAGATTTTAAGACAGCAGGTTGTACTGAGTGCCTAGAGGACAGTAAGCCAGGGACGGGGACCAATGGGGGCTGGTCCCAGGGCCGCCTTCTGGCACGGCACACGCTCCTCCTTGCCTCGGCCTCCTGACCCATCGTCACCACCCAGACTCTTGCCCCTCCTTCCACCCTTTCCACCCAGCCATGGTGCCGCCCGGGGTGCAGGCCATGGCACCAGGAGCTGGGGCTCTAGTGATCCGCCAGCCTCGGCCTCCCTTCCTGCCCCAGCAGAGCCCTGTGTCCTGTGCCCCCTGCCCTGCCTGTCCCAGCCCTCCTCCCCTCCTTGTCCCTTCCTTGTCCCTTGTCCTTCCTTGTCCCTGTTTCCTCTCCTTCCTTCAAACTCACATCCCCTCTGGTGCTCACCATGGGCTGAGCCTCTGGACTCCATGGTCCCCTTTTTCTGTCCTTGCTCTGTCATCTACTGTCACTCCAACCCTCCTGCCCTCATGGAAGATGGCAGCCCCCAAGCCGTCCCTGTGTCTGCAGTCACATGGATGACCCGCTACTTTGTCCCCAGCTCTCTTCCTGATTCCCACAGTCTCTGCTTCTGCACTGCCATCCGGCCATGCCGGCCCCTCTCCCGCCTAGTCCGCTCACCTCCTCCCCTCTTGTGCTCTCTGACCTGCTGCTCCACCTGGGAGACAGGCACTCCCAGCTCATTCCAAACCCATGTCCCCAGCCTCCAAAGAACTGGGGCCCTGTTCAGCATCCCCATCTCCCACCACTTTCCTGAGAGTGCAAATCATCAAAAAAGAAGAACCTTTGAATATAGTACCAATCTTTTCCCCTAGAAATAAAGGTACATTTATTATAGGTTTTGGTTTTGGTACATTTTGTACAAGAAAAGAGAATGCTTTATTTTTGGCGGTAAGAATTACTGATGAGCAACCATAAATAGTTTTTTAAAGTAGACCTTTTAAATCATACTGTGTTTTACAAAATGTTACTGAGTATGCTATGAGAAATTACTAATAAGCATCTTTATCTGTTTCTAATTTAGAGACGCGAGGAGGAGCGGCATGATAGGGCTTTCAGATTTCTTCTTTCCAAAGAGGAAACTTTTAGAAAACCTTGACAACTCTGAAGATGTAGGCCATTAATAGAGAGAAGAATACATTTTCATGTTAAAATAGTGCTCTTTACAATTTTGGCACCAAATACAGCTTCTCATTAATCACACACAGCTGCAGTGTGAGCGCTTCTCTCCATGGACATTGAGTGTGGCGGTGCTTTGTGGGGTCTGTTCAATGATGGCTCTTCACTGTCTTGTGAGGACCTTAACTGTAAGAAATTCATAACAGTGAAACAATCTCTTTTAGTTAAATAATCTGTTTGGAAACTGCAGAGTCAGAAGTGGGGTCTGGGCAGTTTGGAAAGTGGCTTTTCAGCTAGGTGCAGTGGCTCACGGCTGTAATCCCAGCACTTTGGGAGGCTGAGGCTGGCAGATCACATGAGGTCAGTAGTTCGAGACCAGCCTGGCCAACATGGTGAAACCCCATTTCTAATAAAAATAATACAAAAATTAGCCAGGTGTGGCGGTGGGTGCCTGTAATCCCAGGTACTCGGGAGGCTGAGGCAGGAGAATCGCTTGAATCTGGGAGGCAGAGTTTGCAGCGAGCCAAGATCGCGCCACTGCACTAGAGTGAGACTCCATCTGAAAAAGAAGAAAAAGAAAAAAAAAGAAAAGTGGCTTTTCTTCCCCATGACTCCAATCTGGTGGATAATTCAGATTAGCTTCAAGGCTATGGCTCAGGCCATGGAGAGAACTCCTGTCTGGGGGCCCAAGGAGTGAGATCAGGCCCCTCTAAAACTTAGAGGGACAGATTACATGACGACTTTGGGGACAGCTTGCTAAGTGTCCATCTGGTAGCATTTGGATGAGACTTGCTTTCACTGTGACTGTCTCGTAGGGAGGTGGCGGGGAGGGAAGTGGAGCCCTGCCTCCTCTCACCCCTGAGGCTGCCCATGTTTACCAGGAGAAGCTCATCAAACTGCCGGCTAGCTCAGTGAGCAGCATCACTGGGCCCAAGAAAAGGCACGTGGAGAGGAGTTTGGTAAGCCTGAGCATAGGTAACTATCACCATAGATAAACTCAGTGTGAAAATCTGAAGGTATACAGCATAAATCAGGAGCAGTTTTTCACCCTGTCAAAAAGGCAAGTGGTGTTTCAGTAATAAAAAGAATGAAGCGTGGAGACACATGGCAGTGTGGGTGTGATGAGATCCGCCCCTGCTGGTGGACAGGCCCCTGCCTTTGTTCCTCGAAAGGGCTTTTGTCTCAAAAAGTGAGTTTTTCTTGGGAATGACTTGGTCATAGAAAGAGAAGCAGTATTCTATATGAGTCAGCAAGGGCTGCCACGCAGTACTGCGGACCTGGTGCCTACATCACAAAGACACGGTGCTTCCATCACAAAGAC